TAACATTTGCTTGCTATTTTAAAAGTTATAGCATGAAAACTATAACAAGCACAAAATGGTTACGAGGTCGTTCCCAGGGACTGAGTTTGGGCTGAAACAGTTAACACTCAGTGTGTAAAAAAAAAAATTTGTTGAAAAAGCAAAATTATAATTAAATATTCATTTACGAAAGTTAAATACTCTGTTTACATGAATGATCTACAAAAACTTGGTCAGTGCCTTTTAATATTTAGTACTTCACAAATCCAAAACTAACAGTAAAATAATTTATAATTTACAAAATTAAAACATCAACAGGCAAATATTAAACACAGTCTGGATAATTATATCAAACCATAATTTCAAATATCAGTATATTATTAGTTATGTATTCATTTCATGTTGTTTATTGTGGTATATTTTGCACAGGTTATCATGAAAAGACAGTGTTCTCATTTCAAAGTTGATCATTTGCTGATCACATTTAGTTTTGGTTATTACTTTCCTAACATGGTGTGACACTATTACCCTCTGAAGGTAGCCAAAAGTTTTTTACAGAAATGTTAAAATGTTTGAAACCAGATACACAAAGAAATATATCACAATGGTTTATCCACATCCATAAAGGGGAAAGTTATAGTTACACTGTCAAACAATTAGTTTGTAGAATAGAGCCTGAAAAAGGTTGCAAAATGCTAACTAGGTCATTTAATAATCATTCTCTGCACAAAATAACAATAAGTAATCACCAGTGAAGTGATTACTAGTTATCAAACAGAAAAACAAGTTTCCCTGCTTCACTCCTGACTGTACAGCTCACTTAAGCTGTCATTAACCCTTTTGCTACATAGTTTGGATATATCCAAATAAACATTTATAGCTACTGACTGTGAAATTCAAATTTACTCCATGGCTACGAAATAGTTTCCCTCTACTGCAACACGCGGAACACTCATGAAACCTGCGTTCATGCTGCCATCTGTGTTTTACACAGTGAAATCTGAATGTTTATGTGCCTCTTTTCAAAATTGCCAACCTTGCAGGAACATATATAGAATCTATATGAAGACAGCTTCTTTATACCTTGGATATTGTTATCTATATAATTTGATATTTTGTAGTGATTTTGGCCTCTTATTTACTTGATTTTGCCTATATTTATGCCATTTACTGGAGAACACTTTTCTTCTCATTTTCATCAATTTTTTGTTTAAATCATTATTTTTCACTATCCAATATGGTTTTTAAGAAATATTAATATCAGATATAGAAAATACGGCTTCTTTCAATATTGAAAAAATAATACAAAGAATCAAATTCATACTTTTATTTTTTGGTGGATAATTGACATTTTTTGGAAATTAGCCTGAAAATTAATTGCACATTGAAAGGGTTAAGATCACCAAAAACTGGCAGCAGTATCAGTTGGACTCCAAAGTAAGGTTAAAATGAAGTAATTCACAAACACCGAGCTGCCTCAAAAGTCAATACCCACATTCTCCACCTTCAGAATGGCATTCTTTAATGAATATTTTGTTGCCTGATTAGGCCAATAAATAATTTAATTTATGCATATTTACAAGGTCCATAATTAGTATGCATTGTTTAGATTACAATTCTTCATTGACTAATTCTTTGATGTTGAATATTTTTGCCTTTAACATATCAGTTTGTTATCCTAAACTGATTATCATCTATTAATATGCATTTCAACTGATTAATTGTTAACAAACTGGTACATGTCTACAAACAAGCTAATAGAATTGACTATTAATTCAGGTACACTTTTCTTAGCTGAATAACGGCTTCCAATTTTAGTTGTGGTCTTTTTATTTCACAATATGCAAAAACAAAAAAAATAACTACAACATATCTTTAACTGATAAACATTACAAGTTCTTATAAATGCTACTTAGATTCCCCCACAGTTCAATATTAGTAACAACTTCCAAGTAAAAGTAAAGAGTGTATATTAGTAATAGTCAACCATATTACAGCTGCTACATCCAGTCCTGATAAAGCTTTTCACACACTGCCAGTGCTCTTCAGATTGGATGGTATATGACAGGTTGTGGTTGAAATGCTATTTGTGTTTGTAAAATGCCTGACAACAAACACCATGTGTGTGTGACTTGGCATAAACAGTTAGTTAGATACCATCTTTATGTCTCTTTTTGGTTGGATACCTTAATTTTAAGCAAGCTAAAAAAAAATAGGCACCAATTCCCAACATAAAGGATCATTTCACCCTTCATAGCATACCCACTTCTGAAAAAACAACAACAATAATTTAAACACACCCTTTATTTTTCAGATCACATATGCTGCCTATTACATTGTTGTTAAGTGCCTAACTTGACTACTGCCATGTTAAACTTTTGTTAGGTTCTTGAATTGACTTCTGCCCTGTTAAACTGTTATAAAGTGTATGACTTGACTATTGCTGTGTTAAACTCTTGTATGCTGCCAGCCTCAACTACTACGAACAACTTATTACTAAAGCTGGGCAATTAACTCATTTACCTATGAGAATTGATTCATTAATAATTGTCACATAAAATAATCAACTAATCAAAATTAGTGTCTCATAATTACAGTTTTTGATTATTCCAAATATTCAATATATTTTCATCATTATTTGTTATCTATTGAAGTTTATTCAGCATAATCAGAGTCACAACTCAGAAAAATAATCAACTAATTTAAATTATGTAATGGAAATAATTAATTCTTAAATAAACCACATTTCTTTTATTAAACATTGTTTGATACAGAACTGTGAAGTCTACCATTTCTAAAAACTTCTACTCATTGGCACCTGGAGGGAGAAGCAGCTTCACCCTGTTTTGGGAATCTGGCTCGTTCCCTGGTAGTATTGAGTCTGATTGGTTATACCTCAAAATTTTGTTTGATGCAATTTTATACACTGTTATTTAGTCCACATTAGGAGATTCTGGTACAAATCTTGGTTTCTATGACAAGAATATTGCTTATTATTGTCTCTTTTTTTTAACTTGTTTGGTGTGGCTTTGATTTAATGGAGCCTAGGGTTAAATACAATACTTATGATAAAGTTGAACGATGCGTGAAATCGATTTGCCAATTTCCAATCTCCATTGTATTAATTTCATCACTATTTTATCCATTAGCAATGATGAGAAATGTAAAGCATTATGCTTTCATTAAAAGAAAAAACTGAGTACAAATGGTGAATATTTAAAACAAAACATACTATCTGTATTTCAAATATAAGAAGACATTTTTGGGATATGTTTTTGCCTTGACCATTGCTTAATAAATTATAACCTGCTTTACACATTTTTGGGATATGTTTTCGCCTTGACCATTGCTTAATAAATTATAACCTGCTTTACACACTTAGAAGATATTTGTCTTTAATAAAAATATTTACTAGTTCTCTTCTCACAAAACAAAAAATGCTAGTGTGAAAATGAATAATACAAGCTCTAGTAACATAAAAGTATTGTGTATGGAAAAGGTTAGTCACCATTTTATTCTATTGTACACTTAAGATGAAATTGAATAGAAAGCTTGTAACTGGGAAAATACTGTACTTACTGGTGCCATTTGCTATAACTTAAGTCACTAACTCGGGAACCTGGAAGAGAAAATATAATCCTACATTATACTATACTTCTTATACAATAAACATAAAACTATCAAAACCAAAGAAATTTGTTTAAATTAATTTTTCTCTAAACCTTTCTCCCATTACAAGATTCTTCTTAACCCTTTTGAGACCAGTCGCAGGTGAAAAGCCACCATGTCATCTCATTTGTTGACTAGCATTCAAAATTTTATTAAACTACTATTTCATTAATTTATGTCAATAACTTTGGTATAAAACTGTGGATTATAATTCAAATTTTAGTAACATACATATTTTAAAAAAACATAGATAAACATTAATTTTTGTGTGTCATGTGATATGTTGAATGCAGCATTGGTTCAAATTAGATGTCAAAATACTAAGTCTATAGTTTCGTACGAATTAGGAACTCAAATTACCAATATTGACAAGCTGGAATATAAAATAAGAACGTCTTATCTTTTCAATTTGCTAACATATTGCTCATGTAATAGAATCAAACACAGTGGCACCCCACCCATCTCTTTCCATTTTGGGAAATGCTCCCTTATATACACTTACTTCTTTATATGAAATGAATAACCAATTGAACCCATATTTCAAGGAGGTAGGTTATGTCTTTCATTTGCTCGAAATTTCCTATTTTTTTTAGACTAAAATACATCTTAGTTACTAAGCTTGATAAATTATAGTGGAATTCTGCGGTATTAATGTAGTAATTTATGATTTTTTAATGATTCAAGTATATATATATATATAAAACCTAAAAAAAATTATTTTATTTCATATCCTCCACATGCAAAATTTTTAATGGAAGAAGTACATATGGAACCAGCTAAAAAGAAAGCAACTCGACGAGAAAAACCTGATCTCCTCCCCAAGGTCCTGATAAAAGCCAGGCATAAAGATGTAGGATGTGAAGGGCAGGATGTAGGACCGGCGACCAAGAAGATGGGGAGAAAACGGAAGAGGTACAGGAGGGGAGAGTAGCAGGTGCTGTATCCATGGAAACCAAGGCTGAGCTGGCCAATAAGGCGCATTCAGAAGGACCCGACAAGGAGTGGTATGGATGACCGAGATCACCCGATGAAGTTATCAGATAAGAGGATAAACATAAAGATATTTTTGGAACTAATCTCAGCTGAAGACATGGAGCACCAGAGCAACCAAAGGAGAGGTAACTTGTCATTGAGGCTCATAGCCAATGCATCCAAGTGGGGAGAACCCCACCAAGTGCAAAATGCCATTAAAATTAGGGGAATCTAATGATCACTTTGTCAGATATATCCAGTCGGGGTGGGAAGGACAATCCACAATAAGACTGAAAGCACCTAGCACATGTCACACAATGAAATGTGTTGCATGTGGGCCTAGTATAAGAGATCCAATGTCCAAAAACATAGATATCTTGACCAGGTGCCCCCTTTGTGATTGATATGTGCTACCACCATAGAATTGTCAGAATGAACCATCACCAGAAAATGTAAAGTGAGAAGAAGAAAGTGATTCAATGCCCAACGTACAGCTAAAAATTCAAGAACATTGATATGTAAAGCACTTTTGTCCACAAACCAATGCCTCAAAACTTCCTGGTGGTTGTCCCATTCACCCCAGCCCTGCAGGGATGCATCCGTGAAAAGATGTAGATACAGATGGTAGGGAGAAAGTGGCATGCCTACTGAAGTATGTGCCTTGACCAAAAACCAAAGCAGATAGTCTCGCAGAGTAAGAGGAAGGGTAATGGGAGTAGAAAGAGGATCCCACACAAGGTATCCATTGATTGTGAAAAGCCTACTGAAGGGATCTCATACGAACACAACCAAGCGAGACTAGTTATGAATGAGCCACAGGAAGCCAGTAGTCTATGTAGTAGTGAAAATTCAACCCCAGATCATGAAGATGCCGAGCAACTGCTCAGACTACTCGATAGAAGACATAAAGGGGCCGAAGCAAGCCCTCCTCAGAACCTTTATCAAGAAGTTACTGTCTTTCTTAAAGTAAAGAATCGAACACTAAACACAATACTCTGATGAAGCCTAACTAGAAATACAAAGAAACAATAACCCCTTTTGATTTATATTGAACAAACTGCCTGGAAACTGATCAGCTGAGTCTGAGGCATACCAGATGTGGGGAGAGCAGGAAACAATGTGTTTAAAACCAGAAGTACACATCTCAATTCCCTTTAAAATGTAAACATTTTACTTTTAAATATATCACACACACACACTCTCTCTCTCTTTCAAAGGACAATAAAGAATTGGTTGTACATAACTTGCATGAGAAAAAGGCATATTTGAGTTCACAGATCCAAAAAGAACATATACAAGGGTGGTAACATATACACCTGGAAAAAAGTTAAGCACCCCCAAATATTTTCAGGATTGCTTATTGAAAATAAGGTTTAATTTTCATGATGTTGAGCAA